CCCCCCCCATCAAACTCACAAATCTCTCTCGGATCAGGAACGTTTATTTAAACCGAGGATGCGACTGCTCCAGAGCAGCTGCGTCCACACACGCAGCATCATAATAAAAATCGTCACAAGAGCAGAGGAGGTCAGCGGCGTTCGGTTTTGTTTTTTCTTCGTAAACAACAGAACATTCAGGTCCCGCTCACACAGTGAGCCTGTTTCATGAACGTGGTGGCTCAGTCACACTCCAACACAATAAAAGCCCCTCCGACGCTTCAGCTCAATAACACACTCAGAAAATAAATGTTTTTTTCTTCCTGATGACGCATCTTGTGCAAAATGTACTCAAGGATATACGTAAACAGTGATGCATCTTAAACAGAATACCAGAATGTAGGAAAATACTCACATTGCTGTCAGTAACATAAATAAAATATTTTAAAAAGCAGTTTACAAAATCATAGCGAGGCAGCAAAACCACCTGATAACACTTGAATATTAGATAAATATATTTCAGCTTCTCTGATGCATGATTCTGTTCTATTCTGTTAAATATCTTCTTTTTTTTTGGTCTCAGACATCAATAATTTTAATTTCTTCTGAAGTTTCACTCCATAAACAAGTTCTAAAGTTGAATTTTTGCCCGTTTTCATGTTTTAAAGTGCACGAGAGTCCGAGATCAAAGCATTCTCTCTTGGGGCGACGACTCGAGCTCAAGCTCCATCAGTAATTTAAGGTAACTTTTTATCTTCGAGTCTTTGTTGAAGCTTTTTAAACTTCATGTGATGTCATCGGTCAGAAAAGTTTTGTTGCACAGACACAAGTAGAAAAGTTGGTGTCACGTCAAACCAAGTTGTGGTTTTAACTTTTATTACAAGCTCAGGCAGAAACGAGAACCCGTAAAGGTGTTGCTCACTTCATTGTTGCACTAAAAGAGTAATCTACATGCACGCACTTCTAATCCAATCTCAAACTACGTGCAGTAACCGAGTCTGTCATCCAAGACCTGGGAGGATAATTAAAACTCTTCTTAAGATTAATATAAGATTTTCCCCATGCTTTATGTACAGTAAAACCTCCAGGTGTGGTCTTGGCTCCATGCTGTCAGTTTACAGTTTACTTCTGGGCCCAAACTTCATAAAAACAAAGATATTTCAGATACAGTAGTCCCTCGATACTTCACGGTTCATTTATACCGGACTCGCTCTATTGTGTTTTTTTTTTAAATAAAACTGGACATGACAAACAATTGGCTGATTGATGGATGAGCCGCACGATCGGCATGAAATTTTTTTATTTAAAATACATTATTTTAAAATTATTTCGCACCTGCTGCACCTCTGTGCAGCCCACACTGCAGGATAAACTTCCTGCTGCAGCTGATCAGCTGCTCTCCGTGCAGAGCGGAGAAGTGGGCGTGGCCAAGAACGCCCGCAGGTGTCAAAGAGCAGAGGAGGCAGGGAGCTGAAAATAAGACATTCTGTGCTCTTTTAGAACGTTTAGTTGCATTGTTGAAAATATTGCAAGAGTGTGGGAAGGGTTTAAAACACTTTCATATATATATAATAAACTACTACTTTGCGTTTTTTCACTTATCGCGGGGCTTCAGTGTATGGATCCCCCGCGATAAACGAGGGACTACTGTATTGAGATTATTATTCAGATATCACACTAATTTGTAGGCGGCTGTGGTCTTGTAATCCTGAGGTTGTGGGTTCGAGCCCAGGTTGCGTCAGGAAGGGACCTGCCCCTCCACCAACATAGAGCTGGATTAGAGAGGTCCTTCATTTTCTTTAACTTTATCAATAGAAATAACCTGGAATCCATCTTGTCCTATATTAAAAATGTCAGAATATTTTGAATGGAGCACTACGGTGACATGCACTTTATGTAATGAGTGTGAAAGTGTATGTTCATTTATAGTTTTAGTTTTCTTACATTATGTGTTTGTTTGTTTTTTTATTACCGGTAATATATGTTCTTTACTTGTTTACTGTAGGTGCCAGGGTGTGGGCTGTTTGTTTGTTTGTTAATTCTGGATTAAAAGTAAAAAAAAAAAAAAAAGGGGGCAGGACAACTTTAACAAATCTGTTCCCTCAAAAATTTGAAAAAAACAAAACACTTTGTCGAGGATTCCAGTAATAAGCAAATAAAAACCATATGATCCCTTTTTTTAAAGCTAAAACCTAAATTATTTAGCTGCAAATAAAATGCTTTGAATGAAAAAGCATGACTTATTTACATTTTTTTAATGATGGTGTAAAAATTACTTTGAAAAAAATCGTGGAGCTGTCGTCCTCTCATGTTCATGAGCAGTTCATGATAGCTCTAAATCAGCTATCTGGCCTGGAAAATAACTTGAAACTTTAATGGATAAATATCCTGAAATGTCCCTTTTAAAACTTGATATTCATTTGAATTACTACACTTGTGGCCATCTTATAAGTTTTCTTTTCCAACAAAACAAATGTCACGCAGTACTAATATAGTTAAAACTATTTTGATCTGTCATCTGCGTTCGAGGCTCTCTTTACTCTAAATATTCTGATTTTAATTGTGATAATTCATGTTTACAGATAGTTGTACAAAAACTAGTTAAAAAAAATTTTTTTTTCTTCCCAATTCGCATTATGTAAATCCTAAATTTTAGCTGTTGACATCACATTATATAAAGACAGCGATCCATCAATATTTAATGTAACCTGACCGATATTCGTTTTCTGAGGGAAATGCAAACATTAAATTGTCGATACTTAAGAAGTTATTGACAAACTCCAACGCAGCTGGTACTTCTGTTGTTCAGTTTTTTAAAATCTTACTGAATGAGAAGTGCTGATTATTAAAATAAAACTGTGTAGTGAATATAATCAAGAGATCCAAGTGAACAAAATTAGGTTTAAAGTTAAATCGTGGAGGAGTGTCTCTCTACCTCCCTCTCTTTAAGTCAGACTAAGACGGTTGGAGTTGCCGGAGGATGAGGAGGCGAGGCAGATCTGCAGTCGGACAGGCTGCGGCCCAGCAGCAGCTCCTTGTCTCGGTGCAGCCACGGTCCGGTCATGTGCTGGTTGTGAGAGTGGTAGAGCCGCAGGAAGGCCAGGATGGACTGGACGAGCCACAGGGCCGTCACGCACCACAGAGACGCCTGAGGACAGAGAGCGAGAACTGATGCAGAGATTTTTAAAAAACGAGCGCTCGCACTGTGTGGGACGTGAAAGATGGGATCGAAATTCCTGAAAAGCTTAGTCATTGGCTGCATTAGATACTTAAACTGCACATTTAAACTTGAGTACTTATGTTAGGTTATAGCAAGTAATTCTGACAAAAATAGGTGACGTTTTCTGTCTTGCCTGCATCAAAAAAATGTACAGCTGAGCTGTGGGTGTGTTCATTTAAACTCCTACCTGAGCCAGACTGAGATCAGTGAAGAAAGTGGAAGTGTTCACGTCGAGGTAAAGCGGGACTGACTGAGACTCTGCACAGCTGGAGACAAACGAGAGAGAGGGGATGACAACAAAGTAAAAATAAGTCATTTCTCATGTCTGCTGTAACATCTTACAACACAAAACTGACAAAACTGAACAGAAACGAGTTGTAAGCCCTAAATAGACGACAATCAGTGCAGTAACACAGGTGATGTACCTGTATGGTCGTGCGTTGTCATCGGTAACCGTGTCACACCAGGAGCTGAACCCCAGAGACAAGATGATGCTGGCCCCTCCGGACAGGAAGAGGACACACACACTCATGAGGACGGTGAGGAAGGATGAAAACAGGGTGCTGGGTGGAGACACACACCAGAAAACCATTACACACACAGTGGTCAATATGTTCACACATTGTTAAATAAAAAAAGAAAGAAAAATAGGCAAACAAATACATTAATCCTCACACTCAATGTTGACTGGACAAAATTTACCAAGCTGCAATTGCATCTGAAGAAAATGTATTTTCTATGTGAAAGAATAAATCATCTTTAATAGCTCATAATATTAAAATGATGAAAATACATTTTTTATTTAAATGCACGTGTGCATTCTGTAAATCTATAAATGTACCATAACTGCATGATTCCAACAGTGTGTGTGCGCGCGTGCGTCTCACTCGTCATGTCGTCCGTGCAGATAGAAGAGGCACCTCCAGCCCTGCGCGGCCCCGTACAGCACCGTGAAAATGCCCACGAACGTGGCGAACTGGCAGGCTTCCGGCGGGCCCCACTTCTGCACCACCAGGTGGGCCAGCTCCCCGGGCTCTCCCGTCCGCTCCGCCCGGTTCTCCGTCCTCCAGTAGCCCGAGGAGAACAGGGCGCAGCGGCCTTTGAAGGCGGAGCCGTTGAGAGCCATCGGGACGACCACCAGCAGCCCCGCCGCGATGGAGAGGCCGTGAGCCGCGCAGTGAGCCAGCAGCAGCCGCCGGTTCAGCTCCATGACGGAGGTCTGACAAGGACTAAACAACGGAGCTGTCACCCTGCGGCGAAATAAAGTCTCAAATCAGCGAGCGCATCCCAGCGCGAGCGCGTTATTTTTTTCTGTAACTTGTCCCAGTTTTTTTTTTTTTTTTTTTAAAGAAGCAGGGTGGGTCAAACATAGACAGCTCACACAGAGAGAAGAGGTCTCACTCCGACACGAATTCAAGGGACCAAAAAGCTGCTGTTGAATTCGTTCAGCCTCCGGGACTCATTTACAAGAGAGACCTGATTTCTTTAACAAAGAGTGATGACAACAGTGGATAACAACGACAATAGACAATCATAAAAGAGGCATACAATTTAAAAAAAATAAAAAAAATAAAAATAAAATGGCAACCAAAAGGACAGTCAAAAGGAAAAAGTAGTGAAAATAAAACAGCTAGATTATAAGGGTGTAGAAAACTAAAAACAGGAACATGTCTGCATTGGTTTTTGCCAGGAACTTAACAGATGTTTGAAGCCACTTAGAGAGGTCAAGTTTGAGAGCTTCCGATCTGTTTGCATTTGCATTACATTTGCAAATACATTTGCAGATTATGAATGGGCATAATTAGGGAACGCTGAGTCAGCACTACCACATATTTATAGTTTTATTCTGTACGTTTGTTGAACTTTAACCACTTCAGCATATCAGCTTTTACAGGACACTTGAGTTTTTATGACGTCTACATTATTTTAACTTACATTTTTTATTCTAAAACGCTCAAAAAACTGTAGCTAATTTTATCTTTTTGTTCAACAGCTTTTAGCTATATGTTAGATAATTTTGGCTGATAGCTTAGATAATAGTTTAGACAGTTTTACCTTTAAGATTTTTGTTTTACCGCTTTTAGCTTTTATCTCTTGTATTCAGGAAATAAATAAATTCATATTATTATTTTGCAGACAGAGACCCGGTTGTGCATTGCTCTACTACTTACTGTTGAAACAATGTTATAATCCTGTTTAGTTGCATTTTCACTAAAACGGCTTGAGAAACAGTCTAAAACAGTGGTTCTCAAACAGGGGTCCCTGGACCTCCAGGGGTCCATGAACCAGTGCTTGGGGGTCCACAAAAAAAAAAAAAAAAAAAAAAAAAAAAAAA